GTGAGCGCCGTGCCCTATAGCAAAAACCCCTCAAAATAAACAAAGACTCATGCCAGACCTGTGTGGATGCTGCCCAAAATCCTGAGAGGAGAATGGAGGAGAAGGGATTGAGGCATGGCCATTCCCCCTGGGGGGGGATTTCTTCCTGTCTCTCCATTCAATGCACACACCGTATAGCAAAAATCTCTGTGTTAAGGAAAAATAAAAGCCTTTATATGGAAGACTTGATAGGTCAGAAATGAGAGACAGAGACAGAGAGACAGGGACAAAGAGAAATATCTGCTTAACAAAATGAGTAGAAATCTGATTCAGGAGAATAATTATCCTTTCTCCCATTCTCTAAATGTAAAAGTTGCCACTGGTCTTTTCTCTGGTAAGGCAAATAAACAAATGGAGGCCCATTTCAGATATTTGCTCATTTTAGGGTACTTTTAATAAATATTGGCTTTGCTTTAAGCTTCTGAAGCAGGGAACGCACCACCCATCGAAGTGAGCTGAGAGGTTCCTTTCTCATGAATCACAGGCAAGAACATTACTCATGTTAAAACATTGTTTCATTTTTATCACTATCACTGTTGGGAAACTTTTCTTTAAAGTTTCTTTCCAGGCTAGTTGGTGGCATGGTGATTAAGATGCTGGATCTCATATGGCCAGCCCTGCAGTCTGAGTCCTGGACCCAATGGCTAGAGAATCATGCCAGGCATGTGTGTGCGCATCCCCAAAATCCTGAGACTAGAGAATCATGCCAGGCGTGTGTGTGCGCATCCCCAAAATCCTGAGAGGAGACCAAAGGAGAAGGAACTGAGAGGTGTGACCATCCCCCTCGGGAGGTGATTTCTCTCTCTCTTTCTCTGGTGAGCACATGTGCCATATAGCAAAAAAAAAAAAAAAGAAAAAAAAAAAAGAAAAAGAAAAGTTTATTTCCTTCATGAGAGAAAAATAAAACAAGCACCTCCTCAACAGAATCTCACACCACGACCCCTCCAGGCTTTCCCAGTCAGCCAGGATGACATGTGCCCTCAGAGAACACCGGCAGACCTGGGAACCAAACCCTGATTATCTCCAGGCTTCCAGTACTGTGGCTGACAGGGCTGTGCCACCGTGGCTGGGCCAGGACATTTTCTTACAGAAATTCTCTTTAGCATGTTAAGCTTTTCACATCATCAGGGCCAGCCCTGTGGTGCAGCAGTTAAGCGCCTCGGATGGAAAGCCCACGTAGCCAACTACAGTCTGAATCCTGGCCCTGGCAGTTTGGAAGACGTGCTGGGCCCACGTACACTGCGGGTTCAAAGGCCTGACGGGATGAGAGATGCAGGGAAAAGGACTGTGGTGTGACCACACCTCCCGGAAGGTGCTTTCTCCACCCACACCCCAGCCGGTGGATACCCTTTGGCAGAAAAATTAAAAATGACATCATCAAAGGCCCTGGATGATTTCTGCATATTCTTAGAAGGCCATCAGCTCCTCAGCAGACCAGTCAGACAAGGCCCATTGTTCCCTGGGTTGTGCCATCTGTTTCGAGGGGAGCCCTCTCCAGGATGGTCCTCGGCCATGAGCTCATGTAGGTCCTGGCCTGAGAACTCTGTGAGGGCAGCAATGCAAAATCCAGGGCGAGCAGCTTTGCCAGAAGCCAAACACGTTTTCACAGGAAAGGAAAAACTGCACGCCCCGTGGACTTGTGGAACGAGTAACCCTCTCCACCAAGAACTGCAATGGAGCGTGTAATCCCCACCCGTGAAGCGTGCTGCCCTTTCACGGACCCCACGCTGCATCTCACAGACAGAGCAAAGACATCTGCCATGCAATAAACCTGAAGTGGGACCAAGGGGGAGTTCCAGGAAACGGTCCTACTGGAAATCCTTGAACTTGGAACCAGCCTCCACACATACTTGTTAAGTTCTTTGCTACAATTCAAAGAAAGGGAGTCATTAAATAAAGAAAAGGGAAAATGCAAAGGAAAACTCCTAAGAGGATTTATGGAATAAAATAGACTACGAACTTAATGTCTCTATTTTCTGATAATCAGCTTGGATTAGAAGAGAAGGCAGCATCGGGCCTGGGGAACTCGTACGTAACAGCTACTGCAAAGTTCGGCATGAGAGCAGGTCTGAGCCCGGCAGTGTACGTGGGTGGCAGAGCTGTGGAAGGGGAGTACTACATTTGCACTTACGACAGCTAGGGAGCAGGCTGGGGCAGGTGGGTAAAATGGGGAAAAGTTAGGCTGATGCATGTCTTTACAATACCTCTGCTTCCAAGACCCTTGTACTTCATTCCTTAGGTCACCTATGACAACGGCTTTGTCTTGTGTGTGTATGCGTGCACGTGTGAGGGGTGAGTGTAAGTGACACAGAGACAGCGGCAGATCGACAGCCGTGGGGAGCAGGTGTGAAAGAGTTCAATCTGTCAGACTGAAGAAGATCCTATTCCAGATCGACCCTCTCAGTGTAAAGAGGAAGAAACTGAGGCCCGAGGAGATAGGGGTTGTATTCAATCTACTTAGTGACAGGCCAGCACCAGGATACGGTTCTTCCAAATTCCAGTCCAGGGACCAGCAGATGGCATAATGGCTATATAGCTGGACTCCCATGTCGTCAACTGTGGTTTGAGTTCCGGACCCGATGGCTTAAAACAAGCCGAGTGTGTGTGCATGTGTGCCCAAAATCACGATAGGAGGATAGAGGAGAAAGGATTATGGTGTGGCCATCCACCCAGGGAGTGATTTCTCACTTTCTGTCCCTCCAGTGAGCGTATGTGCCTTATAACAAAACTCTCTCTCAGAAAGCCAGAGAACAACAACAAACCCAAAAACAAATCCCAGTCTAGCCCTCTGCTTCAGATCAGTGGTTCTCAAAGTGGGGTGCCTGAGCCATCATCAACTGGAGATTCAAAAAATGCACATGGCTGGACTCTACTAGGGGTTAAGAGGGCCAGATCCCACAAGAATGAATACAGTTAGAATCCTTGCCCTGGCGGCTTGAAAAACACACTGGGTACATGTGCTCGAAATTCCAACAGGATGGAGAGATGGAGAAGGGACTGCGACATAACCACCCCCCACGGGTGGGGACTTCCTCTCGTTTCTGGGAAATGCATGTGTCCTCTGCCCTCCGGCAATCAAGGAAAATGCACACGCTTGGGCCTCACCTTCGACTCACCAAATCAGAACCTCTGGGGATGGGGCCCAGCAACCTGAGTTTCAACAAGCCCCCAGAAGAATTTGGTGCATGGTCAAGTTCAAGGACACCAGTAAAGGAGGACAGAAAGAGATGTTTTCTGTCTTCAGGTGGGGGGAGATGACAATGTGGCTACGCTCTTGTTCTCAAAGGAGAAACAGAACCACACCTGTCAGAAAGGTGGGGGCCTGATTCAGGACCTCCAGAAGGATGACCAAGAAGGAGCCACTTCTGCAGAAGGAACTGAGAGTGATTAGCCTATGGAAGAGAAGCTCAAAGAAATGAGATGGTCACCTGGAACTAAGTGAGGAATTATCAAGTGGAAAAGTGCTAAAGATCTAGAATTAGGATCAGAGTGACATAGAGAAGGACCACAGACACGCCTACAACTAAGTCATCCAATTAAAACTGACGGTTTTAAGAGGTGCACGTTCCTCCTCAGGGCCTGAACATCATTAATACATTGGGCTGTCGGAAAAGTCATGACGTAATTTTCTACGGACAAATGCATGTTTTTCTATGCAAAAATGCGTCATGACTTTTTAGATGACTCAATAGGACACTGAGGAGGAAAATCTCAGAGTAAATTAAATGGAAACGTCTCAGAGATTTAATAGAAGTCTTAGAAGTATGCAACCACTAATGAAATGACTCAGAAAGACTGTGTGTTGACAAGATGGAAGGTTTCTCCATCCAACCAGCAGGGCTTCTTAACGTGCGAAAACCGACTCAGACTGTTCCATGAAGTGTTAAATGTAAGGAAGAACTTTCTGACGTGAATTTTTTTTTTTTTTGCTATAGGGCGTGTGCGCTTGCCAGACAGACAGAGAGAGACAGAGAGACAGAAAGCAAGAAATCACCCCCGAGGGGGATGGCCATGCCGCAATCCCTTCTCCTCCATTCTCCTCTCCGGATCTTGGGCATGCACGCACACACGCCCGGCGTGAGTTTAAGCCACCGGGTTCAGGACTCGAACCGCGGTCGACTATGTGGGAGTCCAGCGACATAGCCATTACGCTAACTGCTAGTCTCCCCAGATGTGAATGTTTGACCTGGGTGTTTTCCTTACTATTGGATCACTGGAAAAGTCATGATGTATTTTTTGTTTTTCTATGCAAAAATGGGTCAGAACTTTTCCGAAGACCCAATACTTACCTTTTCCCTCATCTAAAAGATAAAAGTATTACCTGTCTGCCATGGTTTAGAAAGGAGCCTGCTGGCAGGATGGAAATGGCCTGACCCCTGTCTCTCAGAGGAGGTTAACGGTAGCTGTGAGTTTTAATCCTGGTCATCCTATTGAAATGAACTCTATTTAGTAGTCATTGGATATTTTAAAGAGTCTCTCTTCCTTTCTCCCAGAAAGAAGAAAAGAGGTGGCAATTCAGGTATGCTTATGTCCCAGGACTCGATCTAGTGAAGACGGCCAGAGTCCTTTGCATGGTCAAAGTCGCCCAAACACGAGGTCTCTCCCAGCCCTCCTCCCCGTATTCTTATGGATAGTGAAATGTCCACACAGTCTCCAATGGGTCTTCAAACCCGCAGGACTATGCGGTGTGAGGGTTTTGTTTCACTTTCTCCATCTCTCCCCAGATGAGCAAGGATCACCATTATAAATTGTTAGTTCTGAACAAAGGGCACAGCTCACATTCGAGCAAAAGACTAGGAGGGAAAAGGGAAACAGGCTCTGTTCTGAAAAAGTTCAGACGCTAAGATATGACAAACATGTCGGGTCACTGACACTGCTCCCGCCTATGGCTCAGGACAGCTTGTCTTGGACCAGGATAAAGTGTGCTGGTCCCACTTCCCCACATGGCAGTGACACCGTACCTGCTTTCCTCCCAGTCTCTGGGCTTCTTGGTTTCATTGGGTTTTATGCAGCGAATATAGTGGGGTGTACATTTCATCAGAGTGCTCACGAGGTCATTGGCTTGTTTCTAGGAAGAAAACACAATATCAGAAACATGGAACTTCCACTAAAGTAGACCAGTTTTCAAAGGAGACTTGTGAAACTGTAGTGTGGAAATGTATGGTTGGGAATTAATCTTCCTGACAATTCTTTCATTACGCTTAAGTCAGGTCTACTAAACTTCCTGAAAGATCTACCGACTTTCATGGATGACTTTAACATGCTTGAATGGATGTGAAATTCAATCCTGAAAGCAATGAGGCATTTTTAGTATCATAGTAACAGAACCTCCCTCCCCTCAAGAAGAATCCTGAAATCTTCACCTAAGAGTCTCTTCCTGTAAACTTGTCAGTTATTAACTAATTAAGTTTGTTTTATATTGGTTGAGGGCCTTTGCAAAGACAATGTTGTCTTTTAGGCTTCCTTTCTTTCTTTTTCTTTCCTTCTTTCCTGTCTGTCCTTCGTCAGAGCTCATCAGAGAGACAGAGAGGGAGAAGGAGAAAGCACCTCCCAATAGGGTGTGGTCACGCCTCAATCCCTTCTCCTCCACTTCTCCATCCTGTCTGCATTTGGGGCACACATGCATACATGCTCAGAGTGTTTTTCAAGCCTGGGGCCAGAATTTAGACTGCAGTTGGTCATGTGAGATCTGGTTCCAGTCATGGGACCAGCCCCAGCAATGTTCCCATCTGTAACCCCCCGCCCCAGTTTTTGCAAGGATAAATCATTAAACTCCCTTACACTCTCCTTCCTGTCAACTCCACCAAAGAATCACCTTCTTGAGCTGATGAAAATTCCTGGTTAAAGAGTGAGAGTCACAAACATCTCAGGATGTGTAGACTTCTCATACACCATTTTGTTCCACTTCTTCCTTTCAACATATCCTTTCGCAAACCCACAGACCCGAAGTGCTTTCCGTGTGGTGGATAATGTACTCCTTTGCAAAGCTAAAATATTCCCTAAAAATCAGCTATTACTACCTACGCACTGGGGATCCAAAAGGGAAGTGGATTTAAGTAGAAAAAGCCACATGAATAAAGCTGAAATCGCATATGGTGGGTTTCAGACCACAAGCACCTCCGACATGGAAGAAAGGAGAGCTGTGTCTGCATCTGCATTAGCGCCACACAGCAGAGCACACCCCGCGGCTCCCAGGCAAACCCCACTTCCAAGCAACTCAGCACAGGCCGAGAAGGCCGCTAAGCGAAAACAGTGACATGGGATCACCAAAGCCAGAAAACCACGACAGAGTCAGCAGACGGGGTCTGCCTGCAGTAGCCACCCGTTTCAATTCGGGCTGTTCTGTTTTCATGGGGTTGGGAAATCTGAAACCCTTGAGAAAAACCACTGGGTGTATGCGAGGCAGGACGTTCACTGGTGAATTAAGCTCTCTGTTTAGACGAGCAGAAGACAGCATTCTTTGCCATGCTTGAAATTGAGGCCAGAGCCGTGGAGGCTGTGCGATCAAAGCAAAGCCCCGTGACGGACAGCCAGCAGCCTCTTTGATGATGTGACAGCGCTGGAGAACGAGCTTTGCAACACAGAAGGAGAAGCTGAAGACCCGCTTCTAGCAAAGCGTTTTTAAGTCTCCAACTCTCACCATTTAAGATTTATTTTTTAATTCTCTCCTTCAGGGTTTATTTATTGAGTGTCTATAATGTGTCACACAACGTATTTTCAACAACTAAGTTAGTTCACATTTTTTTAAAATTAATTTTCCGGGACCAGCAGTTGGCGTAAAGGCTATGTCACTGGACTCCCATGTAGTCGACCGTGGTTCAAGTCCTAGACCTGGTTGCTTAAACTCACGTGCATGCATGCCCAAAATCCTGAGAGGAGAACGGAGGAGAAGGGATTGTGGCATGGTCATCTCCCCTGGGAGGTGATTTCTTGCTTTCTGTCTGTCTTTCTGGCAAATGCACACACCCTATAGCAAAAACCTCTCCAAAAAAGAAAGAAATTAATTTTTAATTAATGCTCCTCAGGGGGTGTCTGTGCTTGCCAGAGAAGGGGGGGGGAGAGAGAGAGAGAGAGAGAGAAAGAACCCACAGTGGGGTATGGCCATGCTGCAATTCCTTCTCCACTTTTCCCTGCTGTTGGATTTGGGGCATACAGCCTATTTTTCAAGCCACTAGGGCTGGGATTCGAACTGTAGTTGGCCATGTGGGATCCAGCTCCCTTACCCACGAGGCAAAAGGGCCAGCCCTTATCGTTTTGTTTTAATTTTTTACTTAATTAGATGTAATTTTCAGGAATAAGGTTGCACACTCTTCTGTCTTAAGTGTTTCACAGCTTACTTCCTTCCACCTCAGCATGAGGAAACACAAAGGCAAGCGTGCCTTAGTTTAGTGCCCTCATTCTTTTTGTTTGTTGAATGGGTTTTTGCTATACGGCACACGGCTGGAGACAGAGGTAGAGGGAAAGTGGGAGATCATCCCCCAAGGGGTGTCCCTACCCCTTCCTCTCCATTCTTCTCTTGGGATTTTGGGCACACATGCCTGGTGTGATTTTCAAGTCACAAGGTCCAGGACTCGAACTGTAGTCAGCCATCTGGGAGTTCAGTGCCATTGCCACCATGCCACCTGCTGGCCTCTATGTCTTAATTCTGAATTCTCTCCAGCTCAAGATAGGAACACAACACAGCTGGACACCTAGAATACTCTCTCACCTGTGCCTCATAGAACTCCGAGAGAAAGTTACTAGGATTATTACTGATTTGCAGACAAGAAAACTGTGCTTTAAAGAAAAAAAAAATCACTCAAGATGAAATCTCAGTAAGCAACAGAGGTCTGGCTGGAAACCCAAGCCCCTGTGCTACCAAGTCCATTTCTGTTTTCTTTCTAAAGTTTCTTTCTTTCTTCCTTTTTTTAAGAGAGAGATTTTTGATTTAGGGTGTGTGTGCTCACTGGAGAGACAGAGAGCAAGAAATTCCCCCCTCCCCCAAGATGTCCACTCCACAATCTCTTCTTCTCAAGAAATTCCCCCCCACACCCAAGATGTCCACTCCACAATCTCTTCTTCTCTTTTCTCCTCTCAGGATTTTGGGCATGGACACACATGCGCCCGATGTGTCTAAAGCCACTGGGTCCAGGACTCAAACCACAGTTGACTACGTGGGAGTCCAGCAACATAACCATTATGCCATCTGCTGGTCCCAAGTTTCTTTCTTTCTTCTACAAGTGACTAAAGTTTATTTATCTCTTCCAGAAATTTTTTTTAGAGATAAGCACCCCAACAGGACCTCGATGCCATGGTCCCCACCCAGCCCTCCTAGCCCCAGACCATGGCACATGTGTGTTGTGCATACTCAGGGAGGTGGCCTGGCTCGAACTGTGAGCCTTCCCTTGTGAGATGCCTTGCAGAGAGTGGCATTTCACCACTGTGCCAATGTCTGTCCCCACCCCGCTTTAAAAGCCTTCATTCTTTATTCATAATAGAACATGCGCACACTCAGGAGGGGAGGCGCACTCTCCAGGGTACAGTCACGCCATGATCCCCTTCCTCCAGGCCCGAGCCCATTGGATCTGGGGCACCCTC